GGGCTCTCTTCATCCGTTTTTCAGGATGGAGGTTTGGCATTGGTTTCAGAGCTAACGAAACTCCTTGGCTCAGTGTGGGAGAGGGAACAGGTTCCAGCTGAAAAGTGTGAATCGGTGATCATACCGATTTGCAAGAAAGGGGGCGAATCCTCTTGTGAAAACCACAGAGGAATTAGTTAAATCAACATAGTCTCTAAACTGCTCGCTGGGATCATACTCCGTCGATTGTCTGCCGCACGTGAACGGTGCACGCGTGAGAGCGAGGCTGGTTTCAGACCTGGTCGAGGCTGTATTGACCACATCTTCGCTGTTCGCCAAACTCTGGAGCACCGGCATTCCTTTCGTAAACCCACCATTTCTATTTTCCTCCATCTGAAAGCTGCTTTCGACCCAGTCGACCGCTCTAAACTCTGGCGTTGCGTTTCTCTAAAAGGTGTGCCCGAGAAGCTTATTTCAATATTCCAATCCCTCTGTACTCATAGCCGAAGCCGATTCCGAGCTTACGGGACGCTTTCGCCCGAGTTCACCAGGGAAAGTGGTGTTCGACAGGGTTATCCTCTCTCCCCTTTTCTATTTAACTCTGTTATAGATCTGATTATGGAAACAGCCCTATCCTCGTGTGAGGATAGCGGTATCGATTTACTTCCAGGCGGCAGACTGTCTGATCTAGAATATGCAGATGACATTGTGCTACTGAGTGAAGATCCAGGTAAGTTACAAGCCTTTCTAGAAATGAGCTGAACCAACTCACAGTTGCTTGTGAATAGTGTTGTAGGATAATTGATATTGATTGATTAGTACTAACCGTCTTTCAGACTTCACCTTTTCGCACATTCCTCAGCTCTTCCAGTTCACGATGCTCGGAAGCTTTAGACTCGAATTTCGCTCTTATTAGAGCTCATCAGTCGTGTTTGTCCACTGTCGGGGATTTGAACTCTGGACGCATCCCACAACTCACACGTAACCCCAGGTTGCATGCGAATGACTAACCCGGCCTACTAGGTTTGTGGCCAATTAGCCCGAATCCTTTTTTGCTGGACCTGACTCTGTGGTAGGTTTTCGTTTAGAGTTAAACAATAGTGTTCCTTCGTTCGGCCTGCGTGACTGTCACTCCGTCGGTTGACGTTGTGTGACTGAACTTCACTGAATTAATCAACTTTGACCATGGTTGAACATTCGACTCCTAAACGCTGCATAATATAGTGTGCCGCGTTACCGAATCACAAAGATAATCGCATCAAGTACCAAGTCCTGTTGTGATACCCAATATCATGATGATGTATGTATAGGGGACTTAAATATGTTCCATGTAGAGGATGTCGGGTAACAAAATCCGGCATTTTTAGTCTGGTTAGAACCGTCTGCGGTCACCTCTATCGGAATGCTTCCCGAGTGCCACAGTTCGGTCAGTTCTGCTATACGGCGCAGAGACTACGGGAACAGGATACAAATAGATTGTCAGTGTTTGAACCCCGCTGCCTGTGTAGCATTGCACGAATCTGGTGGGGAAACCGAACGAGCCTTGCTGAAGTTAGGCTTAGGGTTTTAGGTAGTCGCGGTCGTTCTCTGGAGCAAATAGTCAACCTCCATAGATTACGTTGGTTGGGACATGTGTTGCCCATGTCCCGGCTAGCGATGTTTGGCGAGGCAGGTAGCGGATTGAAAAAGCTCAAGAGTGGTCAAACTAAGATCTCGCATGAGGGCTTGAAAACCCTAACCAGGCTACTAGGTCACACAGGTCCCGTTTGACTTCCTGTCTGGGGACCCCGAGATCATGGTCACCTGTGGTTAGAGACAGTGAATGATATGGCTGAGTATCGCAAACAGTGCAGTCGCGCATCTACTCAGTATTCTTGCGACCTGTCTGCATGAATTCTCTATCCTCCCCTTGAATTGGCTTTCAACATTCCATTCTTCCTTCTGCGTTTTTGTCCAAGTGAGCAATCAAAACCGGCGCATAAAGTGCATGGTTAATGGTTATAAAAGCTTAAAAGTGAAACTTCCATGGATGACTCAAACGGTCTGTCGACACGAGGTTCTTTTTCGTTTCTACAACTATTTCTCACGAGCAGGTTGTCACGATACCGTGTCTTTCCGATTGTCAAGTGAAACTGACGTGCGTGCATCTTCCTCAGACGTGCAATACACCTCAGTTTTGTTCCGATCTTTTTGGTCTAAGGAATTGATGATCGTTCTGTATCTGGTTTCTGTGTAGTGGGGGTGCGACAATCCGCCTTTTGTAACTATCATTCAAACTCACGAATGTGCTCAAATGCTTTTTTATAATGCGGCTGGAATAAACCGGTCCAATTTCCCTTTCTTGTTAATCTATTATTTCAGGTCCCAGAAGTTAGATAGTTTGTTCGCAAGCGCCGAGGAAGTGGGTGAGCTATATCGTGTTCAAGAAACCGCCCGCGAACGCAAGCAGCGTTTGTGGGAGGAGAAACGTTCGGAGGACACTTCGTTCCGCAGTAAGAGTGGGCGCCGTGGTCGTCGTTCTCGCGGCGGTGCTGGCAGTGTCGGTTCGGCACGACCGCGCAAATCACATCATGCGCCAAAAACCGATAGAAAACAGTTTAAAGCACATGGCGGTGGTGGCAAACGAGGTGGTCGTCGAAACTGAGCACAGACGCAGATATTTTCGTGTAAATATTTCCGATTTTGCTGAATAAACATGTTCTTGTAAAATAAATAGTGTCCATTGTGAATCATCATCGGCTGCTCCAAGGTATTTTATTCGACAGTAGTTCATATTTCTCTAAAAAAAATTACGTTATAATTCTGTTATTTTGATATGTTGGGATTGACGTGATGTCTGACTTGAATCCTCCTCTTGTTACAGGCAATCAACTTTATTTTCAGGTTTCCAACAAGCGTATAAACGTTCTTCCCCACTCCTATTCTTGTCCTTGATTCGGAATCCGGATTATTTCATTTGCATATACTCTCAGGCTATGCTTCAAAATCCTGGCCTTTCCCATCTCCCACACAGACTAATGCGGTCAGATTGCAGAAACTCCAACGCATCTCTCTCACCTGCGCATATCTCATGCAAATTAAAAATTCTGTCTAACTAGGCGACATGGTCCATTGACAGTCGGTCCGCCCTCACTGTTCGACGCTGTTTGTTAGTGTCATATGAACAAATGTCATCGTGTTGTTTGGACATATTAGATCGCGTGTAACGCTGACCTATACATGACAGCATTTGTTCAAATTAACCTGGCCTATATTCGCACAGAAGCATAGACAAACACCCGATGAAGCAATTGAGGTCATCCGCGGTGACCAGGGCATTTACATCGGTTTAAATGAGCGACGATGATGATGAATCGGAATTTGATCAGAGATCATCGCGAGGTGACAGATCCACACAGAGGGATGAACTGATTGAAAGTGACGCAAAACTCTTATTCGATATGCGCGTTATCAAATGCACAACTGCTGCTTGATAAGCATGGTTTGCACTAAGTCGTACAACGCAAATGTTTACTCTATCATAAACGAGGGGTGAGAGATTGTAGGAAAAATAGACCGTTCATTTTGTATTTAGAGACCAAATGATCACATGAGAACTGGTAAATAGCTTCTTTGACTTCGTTACTGTTGGATCGGGCAGACTAGATAACACTAATAATACGTCAAGAGCAAGAACACTGGTAGTGCGCCATAACCCTAAGCGACTTCTGGGTGTATATGCTTTTCTCGGTACATAGAGAGAAGAGATTTTCATCTAATAACGGCTGAGCAAACAACTATATATGACGAGAGCCGTTCCCGTCGATAACCCAAAGGGCATTGTGGATTTGAGGACCGCCGTAGATAGCTGACTATGGCTATTCAACGGAGTACCTCCTGGTTATGGAACTGATGAGTTATTGAGGATGTAAGACTGCAGGTATTTCGGATTGTTTATGTGTAGACCTGATTGACAGGCAAATAATGTGGCCAAACGTAGGATGTGAACACCACTCCAGATGCACTGGAAACTGCTTGACACAATACCACGATATGGGTTTATTCAAAAATTTTAATTCAATTGTAATAAGTACCAGGGTGGGAGATTCTTCAAGATCAGATTGTTCCTCACATGAAGATAGGTTATCAGTCCTAGGGGAGGGGAGGGGGGGGCGGTTAGAGTGGAAGAGTTCCGGACCTCAACATCAACTGCAGTAGAATTGTTGTCCATACTCAATTATTCAATCTGGATAAATGTTTATACTCGGAATTTCAACGAGAATCAGCTGTTCATGACAGAATAAAGAAAAGAACTTAGCCGCAGATGTAAACTGCCGCTTCTCTGTGGTTCCTGGCAGTCAATTATTTTGTCGTGTAAAGACCATATGAAACGTGAACTGAAAAGCTAGGAAACATAAATGTACCGCTGTTTTGACATGGTTGTGTCTCATCAAAAGTGAGCAAATCCATCGAATCCGGGGTACTACTCACCGAGCAGCTGATCACATCGTTTTTTTTTCATTTCCCTTATACATGATGTAGCACGACTCATCTTTGCGAGTTAAATGCAGGCATCGCATCGTGCGCATCTCAGCACTAGCCACCTTGGTACGACTCGGTTAAAAACATTCCAACCGGATTACATGGTGCGATGACCACATGAAGCCCGCAGCGATGAATTGTGCTATATTGTGTATAGGGAAACTGAAAAACGGTCTGATCGGTTGCCCGGTGGCCGAGTCAGTATCATCCTTGCATTCTGCCTTTGAGGTCCTTGTTTGGATCACCATTAGTGTCAATGGATTCGCGCTGCACTGATGATACCCAACCAGGTCGAAACAGTTGTACGGTTGGGCGGTGGTAACGTCATCAATTATCGCCCCGGAGGACGAGTGTTCGAATCCCACCCATTGTGTATTGAATGGCAGCCCTTTGATTGGCCGCTTCACCCTTCCTGAAAATCGTACCTTTGTATATCCAATAGAAGGAAGTAAAATGAAATGAAAAGAAAAAAGTCAGGGGTGTGGAAAAGCAAAGGAAGTGAACTGAATTCCATACTTAAAGCACTCCCAAGGTTTTTGGCTATGCACCAGGATTTGATCAGTCAGATTACATATTGAATAAGTTTCCTATTTTCCAAAAAGACATTGGGAAAAATGTTCACGCCACCACCACCACAAGCTCCAGACAGTATTTCCAATACACAGAATTCGCCGTTCTCCATCAGGCTGAAAATAAATGAAGAATTCCAACACTTGTGTGACACTCAGACCGGGTATAACCCAAAATCGGACGGCGCATTTCGCGTTTGTAATGAATACAACTTACCTGTCAACAAGGAGATCATGGTGGAAACGTTTCGGACTTCGCTTATTGTATGGCACACCGGAAACGGGGAGAAATTCTTCTAAATTTGTTTTAAGACTTGAATACACCAGCAAAAATTCAAGAGACTTAAAATAATCAACACATTTGGGACTGTTTTAGCACAACCACCTAGCATTTAGCATTTGATCTACTCCGCTTTTTTTCCATAATGGGGCAGGGGCAACAATCCAGTCAAGGATATGCATAATGTTTGCGCGTATCTCGATAATACTCTGATTTCCGGTCCCAATGAACACGCCCATATGCACGCACCACAGTCGGTCTTGTCGCGCTTTAGTGAAAGTGGGCCTTAATTAAAAAATCCAAATGCAAGCTGTTCACAGACCGTGTAGGCTACTTTGATTATAGAGTATCAAGAAGTCCGGGCTACACCCTATTGGCGAAAATCTGCTCTCAATTTTGAAAGTCCTGGTTCTGAGTAGTGTTGGTGATTTAGTATCGTTCCCTCGTATGGTGGCATATTGCGATCGATTCACTTCACTATGTTCGACTCTGATAGGTCCACTACGTGCATGCGTGCAGAAAGATGGTAAATGTAAATGAACTCTAAAGCAACTGGTATTGCTTAAGACTACCAAAAGGGCACTATACGACTGATACTTTTCCAGGTTCGATTTAATAACAAAGCACATGAATCTTCTACTTCGTGCTTACAGCTGTTGCTCTTGTATTGGTTATCAATCACCCAACAGTGGCAGCTCATCCGTCTTTTTTTATTCATTTTGCGAATTTGTGCTCATGTTCATTATGCACCACCCCCAAAGGCCATGCTATCATCTGAGGAGATTTCGACAGTGATGCTTTACATTCTTCTGATACTGCACCTTGATCAAAAACCTGATCCATTTCGTTGACCTGCCCACAAGTGTCCCTCCGGATCGAGCTGCGGACCGTGCTCATAATCTCTATCTCCCACACTCTACTCGCATATTTCCACTCTCCTTCCGCTTGGTTCATCGGATCCTTAAATTGTTTCTTGCTTCACCAAGTTTCCTAGTCCCCAATCCTCCAGCCACCTTTTGATACACATTCTGGTGCTACAACTCAGTCAACTGAGACTGTTTTCTCTGTTTTATATACTTGGAACGATTGCTGTTTCACTCGAAATGTTTACAAAACAACCTGTTTCCAATCTCAGCGATATTGTTCTTCAGGGTGTGCATCTTTTAATTTCGTACTTTTTCACACCACTTAAACAACCAAATATATTATAATTCCCTACCCAAAACTGCTTGCTTTTGTCTTTTTCAATCCAAGGTTATTTTGACACCTTTATATATATATATATATATATATATAGATATATATATATATATAGTGGGCAAGCGCGAGTACGATTGCCTTCAATAGCTATGTCCAACTACACCGAGGATGTGCGGGAATTCCTCTGTTTAATAACCGGGTCCGGTCTAAGGATGTTGAAGCCGGATTGTTATCTACAGCAGAGGTGATAACGATCAAGTGCAACAAACCCCCACCATGTGAACAGAAACAGTTCATTAAATCCCTTACCCTCGGTGTCCCCACCCCCCTCCCTCCAACTAACATTCCAGTCGACAATTCACACACTCCGCAAGTGGTTATCACCAATTATGAGGTCAATACTTGAACACCTCAACTCCAATTTCGCACGTGGAACAGAAAAACACGATTTTACTACCGCACTGTGTTGTTTCCCTGAGGCATCTAATGTACTGTAACTGGCTAGCAGACAAAGCAAGTAGACCAAGCTTAATTGTCGCAGCTTTGTTTTTCCAATGAATCCACGAGGGTTAGCATTTAGAACACAAGTCCGAAAGCCTTCGGACTTCTGAAATCGCAGTATCCATATTCAGACAGGAAATATTACGAACATACCGTTCTGGATTGACTGGAAACTTCGTTTTTGGTCTTGTCTCGGTGATCGAGTGCTGTATTTAAGCTAATTGTTTACATATCCGTTTTGTGGATGCGTCGTTGGTGAACTGAACACTAGTTTGATCGCTACGGTGTTTTCTTGATATCACTAGGAAGAAGGTGTTGTTTTGGGTTAACCCGTTGTTCTTGAACCTACTGACTTGTCTCGGTACTTGTATCCGTCCAGATTATATCGATATTTCAACAAAATTCGATTGATTTTGATCCACCGGTGACCCTTTATCCGTGAAAATAATCAGCTCGGTCAACTTCTGAACAACGTTCGTTTTTGTCGGTTTGATACTCATGAGCGAATGATGAGTCTATTTCTAACCTTACTGACTTTAAATGGATCCATATTTGTGCTTTGCAATCATAATG